GCGTGTGCGTCCAGCTCCTGAGTATCCGTCGCTGCGGGCACTCGGAGCAGTATTTCTTCTTGGAAGTCGGCAGATCCACAGTTATTGGACCGGGGGAGCTCTGGATGCAGGTCGATGACTGTGTGGTGGCCCAAAACATGCACGAGCTGTTTTTGGAGAAGATGAGAGCATTGTGTGCAGACGAATACAGAGCCCGCTGCCGCAGCTACAGCATCAGCATCGGCGCCCACCTGTTAACCCTGCTGTCCGCTAGGAGGCACCTGGGCTTACTGCCGCTTGAGCCCGGCGGCTGGCTCAGAAGGTCCCGCTACGAGCAGTTTTGTCACCTCAGAGCCATCGGTGATGGGGAAGATGAGATACTCTCCCACAGGCGCTTCATAACACCCAGCGAGCCTGTGCCCCCCTCTAGGCGAGGAAGAATGCACCTGCCTAGAGCGCGCAGGTCCAGGAGATCGATTTCAGTGCCAGCCAGCTTTTTTCGCCGCTTAGGACCCAGCCCTGTACGTGCCCCGCACCCTGCAGAAATCCCCAGCGACAGAGCTTGCCTGTCTTCTGAAGCGTCTGTTTCCGACTCTGGCAAGTCTGAGGAGGAAGACAATCCTCAGGGCAAAGACAGTCAGGAAGGAAGTGAGGGCGACTACATGCCCATGAACAATTGGGGCGCAGGAAATGGCCGGGGCTCAGGTGGTGGCCAGGGCTCAAGTGGCCAAGGCTCCAGTAACCAGAGCTCAGGAGGAAACCAGTACTCAGGTGGAAGACAGGGATCTGGAGGTGGCCAGGGTTCAAGCGGTGGCCAAGGCTCAAGTGGCCAGGGCTCAGGAGGTCAGGGCTCAGGAGGTCAGGGCTCAGGAGGAAACCAGTGCTCAGGAGATGGCCAGGGCACTGCTGGTGGCCATGGCTCAGGTGCTGGCCAGGGAGCAGGAGGTGGGTACGGTTCAGGTGGTGGCCAGGGACCTGGAAATGGCCGGGGCTCACGTAGTGGCAAGCATTCTGGAGGGGGCAAGAGCTCAGGAAGTGAAAAAGGCTCTGATGGTGATGGTGAACGTGGAAAATCTGTGAAGAAAAGATCCTACTTTGGCAAATTAACTCAAAGCAAGCAGCAGCAAATGCCACCCCCTCCACCACCTCCACCTCTACCCCCATCTGTTGGAACAACTGGTGGAAAAGGGAAGACTGGGGGGAGGTTCCGACTCTATTTTTGTACTGACAGAGGGGCCACAAAAGAACGCAAAGAAGTCAGAGAAGTGAGAGAGGCAGAGACCCTAGAAGGTGCATCGTGTGGTCCCCAGAGAGCCAGAGCTTTTGATGAAGATGAGGATGACCCATATGTGCCAATGAGACCAGGGGTGGCTGCCCCTCTCGCAAGCTCCAGTGATTATATGCCAATGGCTCCTCAAAATGTCTCTGCTTCAAAAAAGCGCCACTCTCGATCACCTTTTGAAGATTCAAGGGGGTACATGATGATGTTTCCCAGAGTGAGTCCACCACCTGCCCCAAGTCCTCCGAAAGCACCTGATCCTAATAAAGAGGATGACTCCAAGGACAATGACAGTGACAGTGAGTACATGTTTATGCCTCCTGGAGCCGGTGCAATTCCAAAAAACCCCAGAAATCCTCAGGGCGGCTCTTCTTCTAAAAGTTGGAGCTCATACTTCTCCCTGCCAAATCCTTTTCGGAGCTCACCCTTGGGACAGAGTGACCACAGTGAGTATGTACCAATGTTACCTGGGAAGTTTCTGGGGAGGGGCCTAGACAAAAAAGCTCCATCTAACTGGGGCCCCAAAGATGCAGCTTCGAAGTCTTCAACTGAGGGCCCATTCACAAAACCTGGAGAAGGGGGGTCACGTTCAAAGCCTTCAGATGATGGGCCCCCAAAGAATAAGGCTAAGAGACCCAACCGGCTTTCTTTTATTACAAAAGGAAATAAAGTCAAGCCAAAACCACAAAAGCCCACACGTGAGCAGAGAGAAGCTGACAGCTCTAGTGACTACATCAACATTGACTTTACTAAGAGAGATAGCAATCGGCCAGCTCCCCCTACTCAAGGACTGCCAGATTCCTGGGGCATAATTGCTGACCTTAGACAGTCAGCCTTTTCTCATTACATGAATGTTGAGTTCGGAGTGCCATTCCCAAATCCAGGAAACCACCTCTCACATCTTTTAAGAGCTATACCAGGTGCCAACCCCCTATCTCTGGACGGTGCTAGGTGGCCACTTCCTCCCAGTGCTACAGGTAGAAATGCTAATGAGGAAGAGGGCGACTACATTGATGTTATTTTCAACCCAGCAATGACACCAGCCGTGCCTTTTGCTGACAGTGCCATTCGCTATGATGCTGAAACAGGTCGAATCTATGTGGTCGACCCATTTTCTGAGTGCTGTATGGACATTTCTCTCTCCCCTAGCCGATGCTCTGAACCACCACCTGTAGCCAGGCTGCTGCAGGAAGAAGAGCAAGAGAGAAGACGCCCACAAAGTCGTTCGCAAAGTTTCTTTGCAGCCACCAGAGCAGCTGTCTCGGCTTTTCCAACTGACAGCCTCGAAAGAGATCTCTCTTCCTCCTCAGCCTCGCTCGCAGTCTGGGCAGCTGCGCCAACCTTAGCCCTGGGCCGGGCTTTAGCTGCGGCCTCAGCTCTTGCCGCGGCCCCGGGCATCGGCGCAGCAGCCGCGGGCTTCGAGGCAGTGGCTGGGTTTGACTCCGCCTCTGCCCGCTCTTTTCAACCTGTTGGTAATGCTGCTGATGCCTTAGCAGTAAGGGGGGCCCAAGACATTGCCCCTGGCTCTAACCCTGAAGCCCAACACCTACCTGCAAATCTTGCGGGATGTGAGAACGAGGCAGCCAGGGCTGCAGCTCCCCCAGCCCCACCTCGCCGTCGCCGAGTCCCAAGACCCTCAGAGAGAGAAGATTCTGACAACGATGACGACACTTACGTGAGAATGGACTTTGCCAGATCTGACAACAAAAAGTTCCACTTTCCCAAAAGAGGTTGGTAATTTAAAAATCAATTTTCCTCAAATTAATTGCCATTGCTTAATGAATGGATGCACTACCCTCTACCACGTTTGGGATAAGTGAGGTAATATTTCGTTAATTGGTGCTATTTAACATGGAAGGTAGAATTCAGTTTTAACTATTCGTACAATTTTTTTTATCTTTTTGATCTTTGCAAAACTTAGACTTTTGTCTAATCATACATTTATTTTCTGGACAGAACTAATTATTTAAATAATTGGTTCAGCTTCTGAGTAATAGTTGCTATGTGGTCAAGGACACATAGCACAAAGATATTTACAAACATCCTTTCCCATAGTAAATGATAACGCAAAGCAAGACATCATAAATTGAGTTACATGAGCTCGTTTTCAAATCAACAGCTAAAAGCTACTTTTCTACAAATGCCCATATTAAAGTGCAGGAATTTAATAAGAGTCTTAATATTAAGCAGTAACAATCAGCTGTTATAGTTTGGGGAGGATAACTTTCTCCTCTAAACTTACTTTTTTTAAGTTGTAACTGTTATATTAATTTCTGTGATTTACCAAGAAGGCTAAATCTCAGCTGTTATCATTTAATGTCGGGGTGGGAGGGGGCACTGACCAAATACAAATAATCCAAAACACCAGGTGACTAAAAGAAGAGAGCATTTGCCTCTGGCATGTGTTTTTGTGTTGATTTTTCTTTCGTTTTTACACAGGATAAATTTCCAGAAACTTTGAGTGTTCCTTTTCTTTGTCACTAGTACTGACAGACAAGTCATGTGTGCTGTTCCTCATTTTCTCCCCTCCCCCCATCCTCCCAAAAGAGGGTGTGGTGAACAACTTGAAAACGAATATGAATATTGTTTCAAAAGTTTAAAAAACATTTAAAATATCTAATTGGTTTGTCTTCTGGAAAATCAAGAAAAGCAAGAATACAATGCAGGAGGAAGCTCTAACCTCAGGGGCAGCTTTGCCTACCTTGGAACAGAGGGAGTTTTTGAAAGCGCTACTTTTCCAAAGGAAGAAGTAAGGAAGAGTAGGAGGTGTCTGACTTGGAAACAAGACTTGGAGTAAATCTCCTGTGCATAACACTGTGCAATGTTGGCATCCTTGTGTCTTGAGACATTCTCAAGAAATGATCACAGAAAGTGATGTCTCCATAGTCTCAACTGCCTTCCCTCTTTAGTAGAATATGCTTTTTTCCCAGTGAAGGGAAGGGATGGACCCCAGCAGTTTTCATTCCAGTAGTCAGTTTAGTGAAGATTTTTGCTTTGCTTGCTTTGTGGAATGCTTTTGTGATTGGATCTCTGCCCACTGTGCTTGATCAGGCAGAACAAGTAGGGGACTGATCACAACAGTCACCTAACAAGCTGCCTATTTAATGCAGGTGTAGCCCCCCCACCTCTCCTTTCTCCCCCTGCTATAGAAAACTTGCCATACAAAAACTCACATTTGCAGCAGCACGGACACATTAAAGAGTGATCATTATAACGACAAAAGGATGCTTTGGCTTGCCAAAGGATTCAATTCAGATCGTCTTTAAATTGTGAACCTCCTCCCCAGCCCACACAGACACACACACACACACACACACACACACACACACTACAATCAATCACAACTGTCTTAACCATGCATTTAAAATATAGTTCCACTTCCTATAATTTAATTCATAACCAGCTTTTCAGGAATAAATTAATTTTATTCTGAAAGTACACTGGAAAATTGGTCTCAAACTATTGTGTGAGCCTACCTGCTAAATGCATTGTTTTTTAAATTTTGATATAGGGGATACATACCTGCATGTGTCCCTGTGGTACTTTGAAAAGAATGAGTTTTCACAGTTTGTCTATGCAATAATCTTTGTTTAAGCAAATATTAAACTTATTAAAATCTTATCATTCCTCAAATAAACTTGGACTTTCCAAGGATTATGTAGATCCACTGATCATTATGTCAGCATAAATTGCTGATTTATGACCTTACAGCTACTTTGCAGAATTAACGTTCTCTAAATGTATTGTTTATTGCGGAAATGCCTAACTTTATTGAGTGACTACAGCAAAGAGGCTATATCTCACAGGGAGGCAGGGGCTTAGGTTGAAATGAGAGAATGAATCTGAAAGTACTTTGGGAAGTTAAAACACTTTACAAATTTAAGAGATTTTTATTGTGTCATTGAATTAACATTGGCATATCAACAGTTTAAACTGATGATTTAGCTTCTTGCACAATGACTGATCCTGAGAGTGATTCCTGCACTTGATTTGCTGAGATATTTAGAAGGAATGGCAAGAGGGGATGGTGGGCATGATTGTGGAAAAAAAAATCTCAAGAAATGACTTTGGCTAACATTTTAATGTAAATTAATATGATAGAATGCTGTTTGTTAAGTGTTAAGAACATTCTGAGTAGTTCTGATGGTTTTTATAAACTATAAATCTATAGAATAATTTCCAACCATTTTTGAACTTCGTTCATCTTCCTATCTAACATTTTCTAAAGTTATGTTAGTAACAAAAAAAAAATGCTTTGACAGAGAAAGAAGGGCACAGTCTTAAATAGTAGTTCTGTATCTCCAAAGTAATTTAACTTATAGAAAGTGCTTAGAACAGTGCCTGGCACACAGTAAGTGCTGTACATGGATTATTATATAGTTGTTGTTGTTGTTAGTGTTACTACTGTTATTATTATATTTAGAAACACAAAGCTAAATTAAAGTTTTATGTCCTCCAATCATACTTTTAAGTTAGTCTTTAGTTTCACCTAAAATAGTTTACATGGTTGCTCAGAACTGGAATCTTTATAGTTGGACTCTGTGTATAAGTGAAATGATATTATAAATCAGTGAGACAGTTTTTTTAATGTAACACAAAGTTAATCTCATTTACCTGCTTTCATAGTGCATGTGAATAAGTTCTTTAAGGGCATTTGTTTTGAAAGACCTAGAAGTGAAATTTTTTTTGTATTGACTTTTTTAATCATTAAAATAATTTTAAAGCATTTATTGAAAATGAACTCTTCACATTTAAACACATGAGTTATAGGCATTAGCATTTAGGAGGAGAATGTAGTTTAGCCTGACTCTTAACCCAGGTATGATTTTTTTTTTTTTTGCTTCTTTTACTACTGTACCTGATGTAGAATTCAGAGTTTAAATGACTTTGAGGTGAAGTATTTCATGATTTTTCATTTGAAAGATAAGAGGATGAAAAAGGCAGCTCTAGGACGGGTAAGAAAATTGGCCAGCCAAACTAATAATTAATTAATAATGATACAATATCATTTGGTATTAAAAAACAATAAAACTATACTAATTAAGTTTTGAAATCTTAAACACTGTTATCACTGTGAAGGAAGCCCAAGCTTCCTTTGAGTATACTACTCCCAGATCTTATTGCTATAAATTATAGTTACTAAGAGCAAATTATAATTATTTTTATTGCATCAAATATATTTATTAAAATTACTACCATAAAAATATACAGATTTTTTTTTCCCAGACACCACTGACTGGTCACTTATTTTAGGCAACATTCTACCCTCCCAAATTGGACAGTTGTTTGGAGTAATGAGGTATTTGACCTATAACAATTAGAGAGGACCTCACTCAATTAAAGTTAACTAAAGTTGTTGGCAATCATTACTCATTTGCATTCATCCTATTCTAAGACTGATGCTTCCAGGGTAAAAATTTCAACTGCTAGCAGAACATGTACTTTAAACAGGGACCAGGACTTTTAAGTATAGTAGAATATCACTCATGCATAAAAACTCAAGCAAGATCTTTTGCTTTCTTTTCCTCTCCCTAATCACCAAATATGAACCAAAATGTATCTGAGTCATTGTTAGGGAGCTGTTTTCAGAAGAAACTCAGGATTCTCAGAGTGACCCAAAGAATTTCTTATTGGAATGGATATGACTGACCAATATAGGGAGGAGTAAGGAATAGTGTGTGTGATTTAAAAGGGACTGTTGTTAAATTGTCAACCTGTTGATTGAGGGAATGCTTTCCAGTTGCAGATTGCCTTATAGCTTGCAAAGCACATTCACATTCGTTATTTTACTGATGGATGGTAAGTACTGGAAATGAAGCCGGTGTTAAGAATTTTCCTGTGTCCAAAAGGTAAGTGGCACCCATACATCTCATTTCAAGTCCAGTGTTCCACCCAGCACACCACACTTTAGTGAGGTGTTTAATCTGTTATTTTTCTGTTGAGAAGAGGTTATTTATGTAGGCAAGGATTGGGGAGGAAAGTCACATTTGTTTGAGTTTGATAGCAAATTTTGTTGTAGGTTATTCATTCAGAGTATTATAAATGTAGACCATTTGCTGGGGCTTGGACAATTTTCATTACATTGAACTGTTTGTTTTGGTTCTTAGAATAAAAGAATTTGACCTGTGCTGAAATTGAATGCTTTAAATCTGATCTGGGGAGGAGTTGGCTAATCTTTACCTCCCAAACACATGTATTTGTTTAAATCTCATAGAAACATTGAAAAGAAAGAAAATGAATGGAGGGTATATTCAGTGAACTACCATTAATGGTCATTTCTTTAACTGAGCATAGGTTTTTTGGGTTTCTCCAATAATCCAGTGCCCTTTGCCAGTTAAAGTGAAGTCTTTTCATTTAATTTCTTTCTTCTGTATAAAATCTGATATTCTTGTCTAAACTATCACAGTGGGCAAAACAAGATAAAGCTAGACAGGTGGATGAAAACACATTGTAGAAATAGATGCTCTTCATTCATTTGCTTAAAAAGTAAACTTGCTTTTAGCAGTCAGGCAAGTAGATTGTAGAAGCCTTGAAAATCAAATCCTTTCCTTGGAAAATAAAAATCTTGTTTAAAATTAGATTCATTTTTAGAACCTTTTTTTTTAAAGACTTTAAGACTTTGTAAAAATAGCCCAGACATTTTATTGGCAGTATTGGAAAATAGCTTTTGTAAAATGCTTAATTAAAGCCTGTAGTATGTTTTGTCTAAGACATGCTGCCAGGATCTTAG